TCCATCCATCCATCATCCATCCATCCATTGTCCATCCATCCATCCATCCATCCATCCATCCATCCATCCATCCATCCATCCATCCATCCATCCGTCCATCCGTCCGTCCGTCCGTCCGTCCGTCCGTCCATCCATCCATCCATCCATCCATCCGTCCATCCATCCATCATCTTTACCCAAGTCTTCTTTTTCTGGTTACAGGGGTCACTGGTGCCCATATCCAGCCATCACGGTGCGAGAGGCGGGCGGGGGACACCCTGAACAGGTCTCCAGTCCATCACATAAATGTTTAAAATGCTTTGATTATTATTTAATTGTTTACATTCAACGATCTAAAGCAAAATGAATTACTGGAAGGAGAAAGACTGCTCATTTGAGTGTTTCTTCATGTGGATGATGTCGTCAGCAGAGGCTGTGCTCCTCTGTAAAGACCTGCTGGGGGTTGACTGTGAGAACCAGGGGAAAGTTCACACAAAGAAAGTGCCCGTGTCACAGCAGCAGGTGTCCTGACAGCCTCCTCCACAGAGCACATGATCTGGGGCCAGACTGAGAAGAAAGAGCTGAATTAACTCTGTCCTGTCTGCAGCCCAGACAAAGTAGGTGAAAGGTGACCGACACAGCTGATTGTGCTGAGATGAAAACTCAGCTCCTTCGTTTATTTGTGTAAACTGTAACGAACAACCATTGTTCTCTCTAAAGCTGTGCTGAGAAAGATGTTTGCATTATCAGTGGAGACAGACAGCTATCTCAACAATGAATCCTTTACTCTGACACGAGAAGACCTACCACTCATCCACAACATGGCTTCAATGTACTGCAGTATACTGAATGAAAATACTTCAAGTAGAAGAACTTCCTACCAGGTTTTAAAAGCATACAAGCTCAGATGAACAATACCACGTTATGTGGAGTCATCTGGTAAAGACACAATGAAGAACCAAAGCAGAAAAAACGAAATTAATCATTTTTGCCTCCACAGAATTTATGAAGGTACTACAGAGATAAAGTAGTCTAACAAGTAAAATGTGTATGTTTTGTGTGACTGCCTTTGAGTCTGATTTATCTTCATATAATACAGCCAGAGAACAACCAGGACATTAACACTTTAACTGGAGATATTCTGTGTTTCTGAAAATGTGGCTGTACTTTTATCACAAAATATCCTTTGTACCATATAACCTTATTGTCTACTGTGAGTAACCCACCAAGTAGGTAAAAATGAACAAATACTCAAACAAAAAGATACAAGCTTCTCTACAAACACCACATCTGTGTCTACAAATCATTCGCCCAGTAATGATGGCCACAACAACGTAACCTTAGATTATTTACTCTTACTGGAACCTTTACACATTTAAAATATTAGTATGTTTTTCTATCTTTACAGGAACTTTGTATGAACTTCATTTCTATATCCTAACCCTGACCCTTACCCAAACCTAACTATTACCAGTACATACCTAACCCTAAATCTAACCCCAACCCCCCAAAAATGGCACTGTTTCTTATGGAGCCCAGGTTTTGGGTATTGAAAGACTAGCTATAAACAAAAAGTATCAAAAAACTAGATAAAAGTCTCAAAATGTTAGCTAACATCTAAACACAGCAAAATTATAAAGATCTGTTGCAAGAACCTGATTTATGTTTGGATTGTTTTTATCCTGTTGAACTCTCTGAATTGTCAAAAATAACCTCATCCAAACCATCCACATGTCTGCTAGATCTCATCCCAACCAGAATGTTTAAAGACATATTTTCCCTAATTGCTGTCCACATTTTGGATCTACTTAATTTGTCTCTAATGAATGGTTATGTACCACAGCACTTTAAGGTTGCTGTAATTAAACCTTTACTTAAGAAACTTGATCTTGATTCAGGAATTCTGGCCAATTATAGACTAATCTAATTTATCATCCATCTCAAAAATTATAGAGAAAATAAATGCAAGTCAGATGTGTGAACATGACTTGCACATATGTACTGTACACAGACCTTTTACAAAAAATTAGAATATCATGGAAAAGCTGTTTAACTTCCATAATTCCATTCAAAAAGTTAATATTTAAAATATGATAGATTCAGGGCCCACAATTTAAACAATTTCAAGTATTTATTTGTTTATTTTTACATAATTTGGTCTTCCAGCTCATGAAACCCACGAAAACAGGATTTAAAAAAATCAGAATACTGTGGAGAAATCAGCCTAAATTTAGCAGAGCATGAATGTTTTAAACTGAGCGTGACATTAATCATCTACTGAACTCAAAGCACCTGCACAGGTTTCCCCAGGTGTCATTAAATTGCTTCAGTTTGGTTCAATTGTCTCAGTTCTGTTCAATATGGGGAAGACTGCAGACATAACTGGTCAGAAGACCATCATTGATACCCTCCATAGGATGGGTAAGCCACAAAAGTTCATAGCTGAGGAGGCTGGCTGTTCACAGAGTGCTGTGTCCAAGCACATCAATGGAAAGTCTAGTGGAAGGACAAAATGTGGCAAGAGAAAATTCACAAGCAAAAGAGATGACCGTGGGCTTCAGCAGATTATCAAACAGAGAAGATTCCAGAATCTGGCAGAGATCCAGAAAGAGTGGAATGAGGCGGGAGTCACAGCTTCAAAAACCACCACATTTAGACGCATCCGGGGAGATGGGCTACAACTGTTGGGTTCCTCGGTCCTCTTTTCCGATGAAAGTAAAGTGGCGGAATTTCATTCGGAAATCAAGGTCCAAGGGCTTGGAGGAAGAAGGGCGAGGAACAAAGTCCTGGTTCTAGAATTGCGCCACTCAAGGTGGCTGCATGTTGGAGCAGCTCTGTTACTTTCATTCTGAGATTTTGCTTTTGGAAACTTTAATTCCTCTTTTTCTGGATGTAAATCACATTTTTTTGATGATTGTTTCCTCTGGTATCAGATGCTGTGCAGCTGGAAGGATTTTTACTGAAACTTTTTTAGTTTTGTACATTTGTTATGATGCGTAACCATGGCAACAAGACAGTTTTCTACAACCAACAGCAGCTGATTAACATCTCAAAAGCTCAAATAATATCTCAACTATGGCCCCAAATCTCAAATGAGTTGAAAAGGATGTTCTGTGGACGCATTCTCATCTACCTGCCAGCTGTGCTCGAGTCCCTGACCACTGAGATCCTAGAAGTAGCAGGAAACATGGCTCATGACAGCGGAAGGACAGGATCGTCCCTCGGCACCTACAGTACGTGGCTGAAAACTAAAGGGGACAGTCAGTGGACCCCAGTCTGTGGAACAGTTTGCCACTGCAACTTCGTTTTGCTGACTCTGTTGAGCGACGAGGAGCTCTGTAGACTCCTGGGAGGAGTGACCATCGCTCTGGGAGTAGTTCTGCCCAGCATTTGGGCAGAACTACAGCCCGGGAGAACCGAGAGGCCAGCTGAGTCTGAGTGGACAGATCGGACAACATCTGCAGCCAGTTTCTTAGGATCCACTGTGGGATGGACCTTTACAAGAGATCCTTCCTGCCTACAGCCATCAGCATCTATAAAATCTCTTAATGAAATGAGGATGACGAGTTATAACACCAAATAATTTCCCTTTGGGATTAATAAATTATTTTTGAATTGAATTTTAACTGAATACTGCTTGAGGTCCAGTGTGAAATATCCACAGTCAGTCATGATGTGGGGTGCAATGTCCGGAGCAGGTGTTGGTAAACTCTGCTTTCTTCAATCCAAGGTCACCACAACAGTTTACCAGAATGTTTTAGAGGACTTCATGATTCCTTCTACTGAGGATCTGTATGGAGATGCAGATCTCATCTTCCAGCAGGACCTGGAACCTGCCCATTCCGTCAGAAGCACCAAAACCTGGTTTGATGTCCATGCCACAGTGCTTGACTGGCCAGTCAACTCACCGGACCTAAACCCCATTGAGAATCTGAGGTATTGTCAAGAGGAAAATGAGGGGCACCAGACCCAACAACAAAGAAGAGCTGACAGCAAGCATCAAGGAAATCTGTGCTTCCATAAGTCCCAGTCAATGCCACAGGCTGATTGCCTCAATGCCATGTCGCATGGAGGCAGTGATTAAGGCAAAGGGATTCTCAGCCAAGTATTGAAGATTGA